AACAGTGCCTGGCACACAGTAGGCAACTTATAAATATTTGTTAAATGAATGAGGACTTAAAAAATAGTAACTGGTAGTAGTTTCATTTTAGCAATTTAAAACAAAAAGATTTTTATTCCAAAGTGGTAAAAATTATTTTACTGATGGTCATTCTCAGTTGTTTAAATATAAATCCAAAAAGAATCACTAAGGAGCTGGTTTAACATAATTTCTCAGGCATATTAATTGTACATAAAACTCAACTGTTGGGAATTTTACCAGGCATCTAAATTCTCCCATGAAAGCAAGTACATTTCTTTTTTGTAGATTTCCCAGTGACTGGTTTAGCTTTCACATGTCTAGAACCAAGAAATTCAAGTCCATGTGCATCTTAGGTCTCTCAGCAACTCCAAACACTGTTGCTAGGCCACTAGGCTGATTCAGATGACCTTTTAAATCAAATGCAGTTGCTTATTATGTGGTTGTTGGGATGGCTTTTTTGTTTTGCAAATAATGTAGAGTTTCCTATTTGGGTTGGGGCTGTCAAATTGGAATAATGATAAAGGCTATTTGTTCACTTAAGAGAATTCAACCCCATGTGTAGTTTACTTAAAAAATTTATCTTGCAGTGGAAAACTAAAGCCCCTGTTTTGCATGGGAGTTTTCCTTTTTGTTCTTAATAAAACCAAAAAAGTACCTTTTGGGATTGAATTTTTTTCCAAGGATGATGTTATTAAATTACAATTGAACAATTTTTTTTTAAAACAGAAGAATGGTGATCACGAAATAGGAAGTTTAAAATTGTATTTTTAACAGACTGTATACTTAAATGTGCCGGATTTTTATTTTCTCATGTAACTTGTACTTTTTTTCCAAAACAAAGTTGAGTCTATTAATTTTTTGACTAAATTTTTATGAGAAATGCTTTCATATCTATTTTCATGAATCAGTTTCCTCTGTAATGATTTCATGCGTACAGAATACAATAATTATTATGATGACATTTCACATTGTGCAGTATATTATATTATACATTTTATTTCATCTATATTATTAAAGTGCTGTCAAGTCAGTTCCAACCCGTAGCGACCCTGTGTAGGGTTTCCAAGAAGCAGCTGGTGAGCTTGAACCACCAAACTTGTGGTTCAAACCGACCTGGTAGTACAGTGCATTAGCCTACAGTGCCTGTATTTTCTTTTTTGCCATAAACTTTGGAGTTGAGATCCACAGAGGTTAAACTACTTAACAAAAGTCATGAAGCTGGAAAGTGTGTAAAACTTAGGCCTGTTGACTTTATTGTTCGTTCTACTATTCCACACAGGTGGAAGGCAGTCAGTATATATTTGTGTTAATCTTTTATATCAAATCTGAATTTCTATGTAAAAAGAACTGAAAGGAGTTACACCATGTCCATGGACTTATATACATATATGAGATCTCTTTGTAGAGCACCCAATATAAGACCAAAGATAAGACATTTACATCCTTTTTTCATTCATTCAGTAAATTTTTGTTCAGCTTCTACCAAATGCCTATCTCGGTTTTTGTCATTTAAATCTAAAACTCATGCTCATGCAATGAAGTATTATTTGACAATGAAATGGAATGAACTGTTGATACATACTGTAACTGGGATAAACCGTGAAAACAATGTGCTAAGTGAAAGATGCAGTTGCAAAAGACCATGTATTATTTAACTTATATGAAATGCCTACAAAGACAGTTTGATGGTTGTCTAGGGCGGAGTGAGGTGGGAAGGGGTGCAGTAGTGGGTGAAATGGAATGGGAAGTGACAGCTAATTGTATGGAATTTCTTTTTGGGGTGATGAAATGTTCTAAAATTGATTGTATTGATGGTTGTACAACTCTGAATATGCTAAAAAGCATTGAATTGTACCTAAATTTATGGTGGGTGAATTCTATATCAATAAAGTTGTTAAGATAATAGTAGGGATGCTGTCTGTGGGTGTATTATTATTATTATTTTTTTTATTATTTTAACTAATTTAAACATCCTGCTTCAAGGTCTATTCCTATTGGTCTCATTCTGAACTGTGTTATGTTGACCTTTCAGGAATAATATCAATCCAGTAGCATTTCCTTAACTGTAAAGCTAATGCAAAATGAAAATCTTTGAGTGCTACCTCAATTTTCTGATTCCAGATCCATTTTATCCCCTCCAATTCTGCCGCTCTATTTCTAAAAGTAATGTATTGAGAGGGAAGTATCTTTTTTGTGTGTGCACGTGTGTATAAACAAGCTATGTTGTTGTTGTTGTTAAGTGCCATAGAGTCAGTTCTGACCCATAGTGACCCTGAATAGGGTTTCAAGGAGCAGCTGATGAGCCTGAATCACCAACCTTATGGTTCAAACCGACTTTGCAGCCCAGTTCATTAACCCACAGCATCACACTGGGACTGCAAACAAGCTATAGTTTATGTGATTTTTTATAACAAAGTTCTGAACCATAGAGATCTGATTACTTTTTAAAGTTTAGTTTTATTTTATTTTTGAAAATACAATCAGCAAACCCCACTGCCATTGCATTGTTTCCAGGTGAGTGACACAGGGTACTAATCTTCACATTGTATCAGCATTCTCATTATTTTTCTGTTTATTTCATTTACTTAATCTTCCCTGCCTTCCCCATGCTATTCTTCTCATTTATGCTTTAGAATAGCTGTTGACCCTGGTGATGCGCTTTTGGACTGGGCAAGTTCAAACTCACCAGCCACTCTTGGAAACATACAAGGTTGCTATGAGTTGGTACCAATTCCACAACATACAACAACAACAACGAATATGTATATGCATACATCAGGAGCTCTGATAACATAGTCGTTATGAATTAGGCTGTTAACCTCAAGGTCAGCTGTTAGAAACTACCAGCTGTTTCACAGGAAATAATGAGGCTTTCTCCTTCAGAAAATATTTACAGGCTCAGAAACCCTATACAGGGTGGCTATGAGTTGGAACTGACTCCACAGCACACCACCATTACCACCACATATGTATCTCAATACCCCAGGGTGGCAATCTTTACTCTTTGGGCTAAACTGCTACTTAGTGTAAAGGTAACTTCAGCATTTTGTTTTGTGTTTTGAAAGAGCTAAGAGCTAATTAAACCCACTACCATCAAATCGATTCCACCTATGTAGGCTTTTCTAGGTTGTAAGTATTTACAGGAGCAGAAAGCTTCCTTTTTCTTCTGTGGAGTGGCTGGTGGAGTTGAACTGCTGACTGTGGTTACCACCCAACGTGTAACCCACCACACTGCCAGAGAAATGTGTTTTTTTTTTTCTTTTTTTAAATCACTTTGGTATTTGGGTCCCAGAAAAGAAGGAAACAAACATTAATTGAGGAATTCCTATGTAGCTGGTAATTGTGCTTATTAAACACTTATGCATCAACTGGTTTAAATCTCACAACAGTCTAAATCCTATTAAATGATGAAGTGGGGATTGGAATTCAGGTTTGTAAATTTCAAGCCCCAGTACAATCTAGGTTGATTCATGGGACACCGCCTTCAGTTGTTTCTGGTTCTATTTCTTGCACCTGGATGTAAAAGTATTGTCAACCTCTAGAGTTCTATTCCACAGGTTAGATTTTAAAATCAATGTCCCTCAAGTTATAAGCTTATAATTATAGGTATTGTGCGTAGAAAAAATTTCTTATCTCTTATCTGACTGTATCTTTGAAATACCAAAACCAGATTTTCCTTCTCTCTTGCAGCAATGGTGAACTAGACCCATGGTCAGGAGGTGGAGTAACCAAGAACATCACAGACACTTTGGTTGCTATCAACATTCCAGATGGTGCCCATCACTTAGATCTCCGTGCCAGCAATGCCTTAGATCCCCAAACTGTATTATTAGCCCGCTCCTTGGAAGTTGGATACATGAAGCAGTGGATCAGCGAGTTCTATTATGCCCATCTAGGAAAAGCAGTGCTGAACAACTTCTGATTGTTTTTTCAGTTTCTTTTGACATTTACTCCACCTACATTCCTGTTCAGTTTAGGTTTTTTACATGTAATTTCCCCCTCACTTATTAGGTTCAATGAGGAGAAGTTTGAGACAGACAAGAGGGTGATTGATGGTGGGGAGAAATCCTTCCCCTGAGCCTGATTTCTTAGTCCCTTGCCATCTTTGCACCACCTCCAGGAAGAATCGCTTTGTGACAGCTCATACACATTTGGAACCTTTATAACTGGAGCGGTTTCAACCACCTTTGACAAGAGGGAGAGTCGATTCCTTTGTTTCTCTGTAAGCAGCAATTTCCCTTGAGTTTTGAGGTTGAAGTCTCTTTGGGCCCATTAGTCACTCCCCACCCCTACCCTCAAAAGAGGAAAAGCAGAAGATAGATAAAAATGATGTAATTGCAGCTGGTAGGATGTCCGATGCCAATCCAGGAAATAGAAGCCATTTCTTTTGTACTTGATTTATTGACTTTGAACTGTGCTGTAAATAAAGAATAAGGCTGGACCTTATTTATACCTGTGTGTTGCTTTTAAAGCTCCCTCCAGCTGTTGGGAATGTTGTGTATAACTGCCTGGCTAGTTTTGGAAAGTCCTTTCATTTCCTCTCTTCCATTTGGCAGCTTTTCTTGATTCTGGGATATTTGCCACAGTGGTGCTGCCAAGAAGAAATCTGGCCTTTTTCTGCTCCATTTCTCTTTGTTTCTAGGGTCAGTTTTGTGATAATTTGGATAAATTCTGCCAGCTTAGGAAAATGACTGCTTTGCCTTTTACTTTGCAGCTAAGCCAGTATTTATATGTTGTAGTCCTAGATGATGGTTCAGCTGCAGCCGTTAAAATTTGATAAATCAACTATTCAAGACGTAGAGTGTAGTTATGCTCAACATTTTTGTTATTTTTTAAAACTTTTTTTTTAGTGGTTGTTGCTGCTGTCTTTCAAGCCAGAAGTGTCAGGATACTAGAAGCAGGTGCACACGAACTTTTCTTTATGGCTTTCAAAGAGACAAGCAGACTAATTCATGCAGGCAGCATATTTGACATTAATAAATGGCTGAGCCGTTCCTATTTCCAAGGGGTTGGCTTCTTTCAAGCAGTTCTTACACTGAAACCTTTCTTCAGAAGAGCCTTTCTAGGATAACAAATAGGGTTGGATCAAAACCTTTCAAGGACACAGAGAGAGACTAACAGTTTCTAGTCTGTTGAAAGATTTCTTCTTCCTTCTTTTTATTTTCTTTTAGTATGTTTTTTTTTTGTTGTTGTTGTCATTCCTCTGCCTTGGGAACATTTTCTGCTTAAAAAAAAAAAAAATGTACCATGAGTTCAATCATTTTTAAAGCACTTTAAAAAAACAAACAAGCAAATATTGGATTTATTCGTGAATAGGAGACTGAAATATTTTCCTTACTTTGCCTAGGTTATGGGAGAGACAGGAAAATCTTTGTCTTGGTTCGGAAGCCTTCAGTTCTTATTGTAATGAGTTGTCCATCAAAGTCTTTGGTTAGTATTTTCATTTCGACATCACTGACCTGTTTGCTGGAGTGAGAATTTAAGAGTCAAAACAATACTTGTTTCATTCTTTGTCAACTAAGCAGTTATATAATGCAGTGTTTATGGGCTAAATAGAAGATATTCTTGCTATTTATTTTAGGATATTCTTCTTAAAAATTTTTACTTATTTAATGTGTTGAAAATGCTTCGCCATTTTATGTAATATTTGGATGGGTTGCATTTTTGTGAAGAAAATAATGATAGTTTCTTGCAAGAATAATTTGGTCCGTATGTACATGTATTTCTGTGTACATTTCACCACAAACAACAGAGTGAATTAAAGTTAGTAAAATTATAATATGCTAGAATGTGGCGCTGTAGGATAAGCACTTGACTGCAAGGTTGGTTTGAACCACAAGGTCGGCAGTTCAAACTCACCATCTATTCCTCAGAAACCCTATATAGGGTTGCTGTGGATCGGAACTGACTGGATGGCACTTAACAACAACAACAAAATTACTTTATAATTGAAAAATAATTGGAACATCAAATAAATCTTACTTAAAACAACCCTCCACTGTGCTTTTGAAATACAGGGAAAGAGAGGTATAGTGAGTTCTCCCCTGCACACTTTTCCCTTACACCCCTGTTTTTTTTGTTTGCTTACGTACCTGAAGTCAGAACTAAAGCAATTTAGGGATCTTCATTAGGAAATCTGTAGAGTGAGATTATTCAGTAGAACCAATGTGTAGACTACTAGCAGATTATGGTACGACAACCCTTCACATATCCAGCCCAACCCTGTCATTCTGTAGGTGATGGGACTGCTGCACAGAGAGAAGAGTCTTTACCTAAAGCCCACAGCTCATTTTTGGAAGAACAAGGACTTGAATCTTGATCTTTCCATCTAGGTTTGTCTTCATTTTATAGTTATGTCTCATTCATGTTTGGATTTAAACAACAAAACCCCACCAAACCAGTGTAAGCAAAAGAGGGAATTTATTGAAAGTCTGCAGAAATAGTTCCGGTACTCTGGTAATTAGGAATTACAAGAAACTGGAACTGGGATCTGGATGTCATTTAAGTCAAGATGGTGGTGGTGCTATGCCATGGAGTTGGTTTCGACCACTTCCAATTTCTCTTGCTTTCAATAGAGGTTGCCAGTTGTCACTATAGAGATTAGATTTTGACCTCAGGTGTTCATGTTTGGCCAGCAGTGTTTGAAGTGTGCATTATAATTACCTGCAAGACTTATTACAACACTGTTGAGCTCGGCCCCAGAATTTCTAGTATGTCTTGGGGTATAACCAGGGAAATTGCATTTCTAACAGCTTCCCAGGTGATGCTGGGGAATCACACGCCGAGAACCTCTAGTTTAAAGAGTTCTAAATTTGAGTTCCTTCAGAAAGGGTATGCTCCTTCAGTGTCTCTCTCACCTGCTGATCCGCCTGACTAACGCTTCTTTTTTTTAACTGCTTCATTCTTTCTCCACAGCAAGCTTTCTCTTCTCTACTTGTATAAAGCCCATGCTGAATTCTTAGAATGGCAAGTCCACCACTCTCAGTGGCTAGGGAGGGACAGGTTCATAAAGACACAGCTACAAACATAAACAACTGAGGGAAGAGAGAAACAGTGCTGGCAATTCAAAGTATATCACACAATGTTTCTTGAGACACAGGTGTACAACAAAATGCTAATAACTTATGGAGTAGAAAATTTCTTGGTAGGGTAAGTTTGGAAAATATTGGGTTAAACAAAGTAAAATAGTTTTTATTTTCTTATCTGTATATATGTATTGTGATTTTTCATTGGTAATTAAGAATGAAGTTTTTCCTACTTTTGCTTTGTTGTTGTTGTTGTTGTTGTCAGGTGCTATCGAGTTGGTACCGACCCATAGTGACGTTATGCACAGCAGAACGAAATACTGCCCGATCCTGGCCAACCTCACTACTGTTGCCATACTTGAGTCCATCAATGCTGCCACTTGGCCAGTCTAGCTCATTTGGGGGTCTTCCTCTTTTTCTCTGACCCTCCACCTTACCAAACATGATATCCTTCTCCAGCTACTGGTCCCTCCTGACAATATATCTAAAGTATGAGAGCGAAGTTTGGCCATCTTGGCCTCCAAGGAGCACTCTGGCTG